TTGTCCAGTTCTTGGCTACGGATTTACTCCCACTTGCCATTGTTCTGGCCACACAAAGGTGATATACTGAACTAAGTGCAAAAACTTACGCAAAATCACTGCACATTCAGCCCAGAAAAATGCCAGTAAAATCAGGCTAATATTCGAGAACGACAGACCTACTCATTACAATTTACTAGTGTTAAATATGGTAGCTGTAGTCTTAAGTGTCAAGAGACAATTGATTTCCCCATAATCGGACAAAAAACGTGTTCAACTTATCGAGGTCTCCGGCCCTAAAGTAACTACTGACCTTCTCTACGACGCAACCCACAACAGTTACTTAATTCCCAAGTAAACCTATTTACTGCTAGGTTAACAGAGGCATCAGGTGAAAGGAAATGTGCCTAAACGTCTCGTTCTACCGAGGGAACCGAACCCGGGACCTTTCGGATGCACTGACCACTGCGCATTTAATGGAGTGGTCAAACGCTCCACATCTCCCTCAATGCCTGGGTCAAATGATGCCACTCCCTGTCTGTGGGTCCAAAATACCATACGTCCACCTCGGCTCCTTCAACACCGGCTATAGCCACAAGCTTTATCCCCCTCACACCTAGTTGTCTCTACCCCTGGGCCTCAAAAGCCTACCTCAGTCATGCTGCATTTTCCACACGCGTCATATACGTCCCTCACCTTTACACCCCAACCCCCACTAACCCCCACCACCCCACAGGTCCCGCTTAGCAGCAGCTCGCCCGAGTACACATGTACCCGGGACGAGACCAACAACACCTGGGTCGATAGATATGGACAATTCCTCTCTGGCCTTTTTCCCAACACCATTAATAACGCCATCACACAACTCAACGACTTTCGCATCCTTTGAGTAACTGGTATGCAATTTTTTTTTGCACGAGTACGTATGCATGTGTGATGCCAGACTATTTTAAATTAGTCTGCACAATTATAAAGTGCATACATTAATGTCAAATGCTACCGAGGGCTCAATATTATAATCATTGCCATTTTAATGTTGGATAACAATCCCCCATGTGAAGCCAAATCGCGAGACAAGGACTGTGAACGGTGCGCCGGATACATGTACGCACGCATGACCACAATGCAGATGACACATTTGTTAAGGTGGGAAGCCTGTGTTGTTGAGCGGCGGTGAGGCACCAAGCCCCTTACCTAACTGCTCTTCCCTGCACCCTAACACCTGGACAAAGACTGCTGGCTATTGTGGAACTAGGAGGGCCACCGTAGGGCTGGGGGCTATTTTTTTACAGGTGGGTACAGGAGTAGACGACTTACGATTCTTGTTAGCAGGCTTACTGCTGTTCCCTGCCCAAATCTTACTGTAACCCTTACTTTACCTAGAAGTTTTTCCCTGGGACATGACCCACCAATCGGTTTACAAATAGGTTCCCAATTACTCCTGTGTGAACAGGAACGAATAGTTAGGGATTGGCGCCCAGTCCAACCTCCCTTGATTGACACAGGCTGCGTGTGTGTATGACACGTGTGAAGGATGGGAAAGTGTGTGAATGACACACGTGTGAGGGATGGGAAGGTGTGCGTGACACGTGTGAGGGATGGGAGGGTGTGCGTGACACGTGTGAGGGATGGGAGGGTGTGCGTGACACGTGTGAGGGATGGGAGGGTGTGCGTGACACGTGTGAGGGATGGGAGGGTGTGCGTGACACGTGTGACGGATGGGAGGGTGTGCGTGACACGTGTGAGGGATGGGAAGGCGTGTGTGACACGTGTGAGGGATGGGAAGGTGTGCGTGACACGTGTGAGGGATGGGAGGGTGTGCGTGACACGTGTGAGGGATGGGAGGGTGTGTATGACACACGTGTGAGGGCTGGGAAGCTGTGTATGTGACACGCGTGAGGGATGGGAAGCTGTGTGTGACATGTGAGGGATGGGAAAGTGTGTGTGTGACACACGTGTGAGGGATGGGAAGGTGCGTGCACGACACCTGCGAAGGATGGGAAGGAGTGTGTGTGCATGAGACGTGGAGAGTGGTGTGTGGGAGTTTGGGTGCTATGTGCATACATACAGTACATCTAACTATTACGATGGTCACCTACTGGACATTCACAAGATGCAACCCACAACAGTTGTCTAACTTCCCAGGTACCTATTTACTTCTAGGTGAACAGAGGCATCAGGTAGGTAATTATCAAAACAAGGCACCATGCTGGGAAGACTATGTAGCATCATCAAAGTCACAGGATATTCAAGTCAGAAATATTACCAAGGATGCCAATATGATAAAAAAGTGCATAAGGTGAGCAATATCAAAGGTATCAGATTCACCAACGATTCTATCGATTGATAAATGACCGCAATGGACATTTGCCTCTCGATAGACTTGTGTAATGGAGAAAACAGAAGGGTTACCACATATACTGGAGGGAACAGCAGAAATGTTCCAACCCATGATGGAGGAAAGTTGACAGGATATCACATCTATTAAAAGCTCTCATATGACATGTTTCTTTCCTTATTAATTATCAACTTGTTGTAAATAGAATACTGTAAGTTTATTACTTTGTGAAAGTCAAGAGATTTCACGCTACCTATTTATCTTCCATGTATCAATAAGCCTTTAAAAGAGAACATGAACCAAAATTTACATACTGCTTCGGCTTAAACTCAAGAACGTAATACTTAAGGAAATTATTACAAATATTTATACAATATCAAACTGTGTACAGTATAAATAATTACATAATAAAGTACTTTATATTATAAATAGAGTGGCCACTTGAAATCAATTTAGCTGTAAAATCCCCCCCCATTCTGTATCATAAACAATCACAAAATTATAAGTAACCAAACCATATTTCAAATTCTATTACAAAATACTACATATGCAACAACTAGCTTCTCAAACACAGGTTACTTGAATTAACAAGTTTCTCATGTTGAATTTGTCAGAATTAATAATAATTCAATTGTGTTGGGGAAAAAAAGCCAGTGTATTCATACATGTTTTGGCTTTTATTGAGGTCCCCCCCCCCCCAAGGCCGAATTACTGACCCCGCCCAGGATGTCACCCCACAACAAGCTGACTAACTCCTGAGTACCTACTTACTGCTAGGTGAACAGGTATATTAGATGAAAGGAAATGTGCCTGACCATTTCTGTCCCTCCCGGGATTCGAACCTGAAAGTCTCGATTGTGCATCAAGAACAAACCCAACTGTACTACCGGGACCCTCTTAATATAAACATTAAAGAATAAAGCAGTATGGTAGTTACAAAAGCTGGACTTGAGATGTGCATTCTGTAACTGAGGACTTCAAGTTTTGACTTGGGAAAAGTGTCATTCTTATAGATTTAAGATAGGCCTATAGGACTATTTAAATCTTTATCGAGTTAAAATTCCACAAAAGAACCATCATTACCGTGATATTAAAGCAAGGTTTTTCAAGAAGTTCATAATACCATAAATTTGAGGGTTTTCCAATTCTTTGTGAATTTTGGGGCATCTCCTATCTCTTGGTTCCTAACACACTCAAAAATCAAACTGTTAATTTTCACTTCAATTAACTCCCCTTTCTAATTTAATTGTAATTCCAATGAAGCAAAAGTGAACCCCCTTTGCAATCTTTCACTTGAAATGACAGCTCGCCTGTCAATATACTGTACACATTTCAAGACGGACACCAGATGATGATCAACTATTGGAGTGTTCTTTAAATGCTAGTGATGAGAAAACATTGATTACTCATACACCATGAATGGAGTCCAAGAAATGTGCAAGAACATGTACTGCTAGGAATCTTAGCGAAGTATCTAAGATTTACTGACTGTAGGCCATGCACATGACTGTAAAGCTGCCGCCCAGTTGGGTGGGTGTGGAGCAAGACTAGTAACTACATGACTCGCAGTTTCCTCAATTTTTTTTATGCAGGCATGGAAGATGCTTTGCAATGGGACAGTAGTCATTCAGTGCTGAACTGTGCTGTACTGAACCTGGCTTTTACACGATGGCCACCATCTGTAGTGGCCACAGTAGAGACAAAGGCCTTCTTACTTGTTTATTCAAATTTATTTGATCATCCCTAGATTTTTTAGGGCAGCTTTCAATGACTATTTTTTTAATTTAATGCAGAGCTGTGCTGTCAATATACAGCAGTAGCTGTGATATGTATTGTTATGTTCTACACATAAGAGCTTGCACTTATCATTAATGAACAGCACTTTCTAGTATTTTAACTACAAGGGCCATCCCACTTTCTGAACTTCCTTTTTTTGAAAATAATGGTTATAAATTTTTGGGCCAGACTTTCTAAACTACCAATCCCCTCCCCCACACTTCCATAAATATCCCCACCTCCAAGAAGCTGGGATTGGTTTGTTTGGCAGCCACACTGCTATTGAGCCAATACAGTGCCACCACAACCCAATCTGTTGTTTTTTAGGTTTGCCCATGGCATGGTTGATGATATACAGTAGTAGTATTTCAGATTTTGTCCAAGATTTCACAGTTTGTGGGCAAATCGCTCATGTGGAACTTTACGAAAAGGTTTAGAAAAAATCTGTTTACACCATAACAAATAGGAAATCTTTATCTGTGTAATTGATTGTTGTTTTCATAAGCTTAAGTATGTTTGCTAACAGGATCTGTTTTTGCAAAAATTGTGTCGTGATACTTTCACAATAATGTGCACTATGAAATGACAAACTATTTCATCTCTCAGTATTCCTTGAAGAAGCCTGCAGATATGTAATGCTCACCAGAATGTGACAATATTAGTAGCATTCACCTTGTATACAACTCCTACAGCTAAGCAATAAATTACAATAACATTCAGCTGGTACTGACAGATGAGCAAGGGTACTGTAATCAGATTAACTTGTGTCCGAGACAATCTTGTTTCCTCAGTTTTTCTTTGAATATGGCATTTCCATAGGGAACCTCCAAACCTCAAAAAAGAAACAAGTAATTGTGTGCATTTCATAAAACAATTGCAGCTTTATCTTTAATAGTAAGGTACTCACCTCTGCCCAGAAGCAGACAATGAGGGAGCCTGCACTGAGGATGATGGGGTAGAAGGCACTTCTGAATGACGGTGCCAACATCAGATCAGCATTTGACTAAGGATCAATAAAATACAGTAATATATTACTTAACAATAAAATAAACTACCATACTGTGTAACGAAACAAACTGAAAATGTGTAGAATACATTACCGGTAAATGTACATTGTATTCCGAAAACATTTATTTTAACACAAACCATCAATGACCGATACCCATATGCCTCATTTAATACATCTGTAGAGAGAACTTTATCATAGACCACAAAATCAAAACTTATCTACACAAATTCAGAAAAAAAAATATAACTTTTTTATGCTCAATTTAAGGCACCTTCATCATTATCAAATTACAGTACTGTACTGTACTGTATGTATATACAGTACTGTATATATATTCACTATTTCAGAATACACAAACCAAGTCCTTATCTACTTACAGGGGATGAGAAGTATACCCCTCTGAGGGTGGCCGCAACAAAGGTGATAACATATAACAACTTCTGGGTGGTGACTCGACATGCCCTCCTGAGGGATGGAGTTTTTTGTTTCATATATTCTGCCCGAATACACACCACCAACTGGGCCAAGCTTACAACAGATATCAGGTAAAATACAGTAGCAAAGCTGATAAAGTATGCAAGATTGGGATCCATGCATGTGTCCCCTTCATACTGAACCTGAAAAAAAAATGAATAAACATGTTACAAATTAGAAAATCAAACAAATAGTCTACAGTATTTCAGTATATTAGACAAAGCAAATATACAAAGATACTATTAGTCTAAATTATATCAAAATATATTTTGATTAAAATGTTACAAATCTGATCCTTGATATTACAACTTAAACACTGCATATTTGTACACACCAGGCAAAAGCAAGTACCATTTAGGCACTCGCCACGGCCAGAGCAGTTGGCTTGACATGAATTTGTGTAGTTAGTCATTCTCTCATAGATACTTCTCAGGGAGGAGTACAGAGTTTCACTTAGTGTTCCACTTGCCATATAAGAGAGGTGATCAGTGGCTGTGGTAATGGGTTGCAGTGTAGGGTGTGGTGTGGTGTGAGGAGCAGCGGCCAAGGGCGGTGAGGGGCCATAGTCAAGTGTATTATGAATTGCCCCTCCTGCACCTTGCAGCTTGCCCACACCCCCACCTACCATACCGCTCCACAGATTTGTAGCACAACCCTCATCTAGAACAAAATAAACATCCTTATTAAAAAATGCTCTGAAATTTTCCAGTGAAAATGAACAATATATGCAATATACAGATTTATATAGTATTGTACCACTACAGTAGTTATAAATACAGTATCTATAGTATTATGACCTTTGGAATTTATTCCTTAGTTTAATTGTGATTGCAAAAGTAGGAAGAATCTTTCTTACCAACCCTCAGTAAATTCAAGATTTATTTAATTAATGAACAAAAACTTTGTAGTGGAAGCTTACAGAACAATGGAGCAAATGCTGTAATCACGACAATAATGTCCATCAGCCTATTCAAAATGCAGCCCAACATATGCTTAACTTTAGTTATTACTATTAGTGTATATACAGTACACTGCAGTAATAAATTCCAACAACTTTCTACATACAAACCCAGTAATAGTCATTGTTCCATATGGTTTTGGAAGCAGATCATATTGGAAAGAGCAGTGTGCATTAAGACTAATTCAAGATTTGCTTGAATAACAGTGTACCATTACGTAACTTAAAAAAAAAATTAGGGATAAGCCAAATATAAGGTACAAGATAGGGGATATATCAGAGATAAGATAAGCTAAATGCAGGTACTGTACATATGGTACTGAACTATTTGGATTACAGTCTATTAGGGACTGCACTTCAGTAAATGGATACCTTATTAATTAGAATGACATTACCAGTACTGTACAGGCAGTAATGGCCATTATTGTATCTTGTATGCTAATTGTGTATAACCCCCATTGCCTTGTATCCAAAAGGCATAATTCCCCATAGGCTTGTAACAAACATATTTTATCCACAATTCTCAGGGGATTAACTGTTCAAATCCTTGGGTGGGGGGGGGGGGGCTCATAATTCAAATAATTCTTGTTAGTCCCAAGAAAGCACCAAACATTTTTCAACACAACCTGCTTTTCAAAGTTGGATAGACCAATACAACAAAATAATAAGGTTTCTGTACAAATCTTATTACCATGCAAATGTACTACATTGGTCAAATGTACTACACAAGGGTCAACCAATTATAAAGTACAGTACAGTACAATTGAAATAACCACTACACACACAAAAGGGAAAATAAGTTTGCAACAGAATAAAGTTTTATACAGTACAGTATTGTACAGTATAGCCTATCAAAAAAGTTCCATCAAACACCATGATGCAAAAATGAGTCGACTAATATTAAAGACCTCGCACTTTTGTTTCAGGAATAAATCATGCTAATTAAATTACTGTCAACTCATTAAGTCATAAAATAATGAAGGAGACCATTAAACTACATAGACCAACCAATTACTTGCCAGATAAGGAGGAGACAATAATATTAAAGCAAATTTACCAAATCAAGAAATATGTTGGAAAGAAAGCACCACAATATATCCAGCCATATATAAAACTACCATTCTATTACTACAAGACAGCCTAAAATTACTTAAGCTCACTAAATAATAAAATAGTGTCAAGATCAGCCTGTGTCACTTATGTGAAACAAGGGGGAAGAGACCAAAATAGGATAAAACCGATCATCCTTACATAATGGTCACCCTGCTGGATTACTGGTCCTAGGCTGTCTCCTTAAGAGATAACCATTCAAACACTCTGAAACATTCATTTAAAACTGCATTAACTGGTATTAATGACAAACTAGAAAAGGGTGTGTAATTTACACTAGATCTAAGTTTTTATACTTTACTAGCTATAATGATAGTAAAATGTCAATATGAAAATATACTGAATTACAACATGTAAATCTAAATGAAAGGCCAAATACTGTAATATCCAACAAGGAATCAAGTGTGAACCACTTGAGACACACCAAACACCAGGCGGCTATATTCGACTGTATCCTGCTTCACAACCAACTCCTAACAACCTGAGATTGTCCACTTCCACATCTTTCTCTGGTTGGGGTTCCAACTATTTACTCCCTTTATATTATAAAAGAAAGATGTAAACAAAGTACAGTATTACTTTACTGATTCTAGTAACAAGTTACTAGAATCAGTTATTAGACTGTACAGTTACCTTGAGGTTACCTTGAGGTGCTTCCGGGGCTTAGCGTCCCCACGGCCCGGTCGTCGACCAGGCCTCCTGGTTGCCGGACTGATCAACCAGGCTGTTGGCCGCGGCTGCTCGCAGCCTGACGTACGAGTCACAGCCTGGTTGATCAGGTATCCTTTGGAGGTGCTTATCCAGTTCTCTCTTGAACACTGTGAGGGGTCGGCCAGTTATGCCCCTTATGTGTAGTGGAAGCGTGTTGAACAGTCTCGGGCCTCTGATGTTGATAGAGTTCTCTCTCAGAGTACCTGTTGCACCTCTGCTTTTCAACGGGGGTATTCTGCACATCCTGCCATGTCTTCTGGTCTCATGTGATGTTATTTCTGTGTGCAGGTTTGGGACCAGCCCCTCTACTATTTTCCACGTGTAAATTATTATGTATCTCTCCCGCCTGCGCTCAAGGGAGTACAGATTTAGGCTCTTTAGTCGGTCCCAATAGTTTAGATGTTTTACTGAGTGGATTCTAGCAGTAAAGGATCTCTGCACGCTCTCCAGGTCAGTAATTTCTCCAGCTTTGAAAGGGGCTGTCATTGTGCAGCAGTACTCCACTCTAGAGAGCACTAGCGTCTTGAAGAGTATCATCATCGGTATAGCATCTCTAGTGTGAAAAGTTCTTGTTATCCAACCTGTCATTTTTCTTGCAGTTGTGACGGCTACTTTATTGTGTTCTTTAAAGGTAAGGTCTTCCGACATGAGTACACCCAGATCCTTTACATTGCCTTTTCGTTCTATGTTATGATTTGCCTGAGTTTTGTACGTGGTTTCTGTTTTTATATTTTCATTTTTCCGTAGCGCACGAGCTAGAACTTATCTTCATTAAATATCATATTTTCTTGTAGCTCATAGAAAAACCTGATTTACATCTGATGGGAGGTTCGCCGTGTCCCCTATGTTGCCTACTCTCATGAAAATCCTAGTGTCATCTGCAAAGGATGATACAGTGCTATAGGTTGTGTTCTTGTCTATGTCCGATATGTGGATGAGAAAAAGTACTGGAGCAAGCACAGTACCCTGGGGGACTGAGCTCTTCACTGTTGATGGGCTGGATTTTATTTTGTTGACTATTACACATTGGCTTCCGTTATTCAGGAAATTGTAGATCCATCTGCCTATTTTTTCCGGCAATTCCTTTTGAACGCATTTTATGTGCAATAACACCATGGTCACATTTATCAAAAGCTATTGCGAAATCTGTGTAAATTACATCAGCGTTATGTTTGTCTTCCATAGCATCTAATGCCATATCATAGTGGTCCAGCAACTGCGACAGGCAAGAGCGCCCTGTTCTGAAACCATGTTGTCCGGGGTTATGGAGTTGCTGTGATTCCATGTATTTTGTGATTTTACTTCTTAGCACTCAAAAATTTTTATGATGTGCGATGTTAGCGCTATCGGTCTGTAATTTTTTGCCTCTGCCTTATTTCCTCTTTTATGAAGTGGTGCTATCTCTGCTGTTTTTAGTATATCAGGAATAATGCCAGTATCTAGGCTTTGTCTCCACAGAATGTGGAGACAGTACTTTGACTTATTATTTACCAAAGCTGGAATGGCTAATTTTACTGCTTAAATACTGCATTTGAATATCAATTTATTTCCTTTAATAGTTTAAAAGCCTAGCACTTATATTGCATTATTATTAAAGTACATTATATTTATGGCAAAACAAATTTGTAACAATGCAAATTACAGCATTTGGTTAATTAATGTAGATTTCTACTACATTTCTATGAAAGAAAAAATACATTCAGGATTATCTCCGAGACACTAGTCTTGGCCGATACAGTACAGTACTGTACTGTATTAATGGTCAAGGAGACTGTACCTACCTTGAGGTTACCTTGAGGTGCTTCCGTGGCTTAGCGTCCCCACGGCCCGGTCGTCGACCAGGCCTCCTGGTTGCCGGACTGATGAACCAGGCTGTTGGACGCGGCTGCTCGCAGCCTCACGGACGAGTCACAGCCTGGTTGATCAGGTATCCTTTGGAGGTGCTTATCCAGTTCTCTCTTGAACACTGTGAGGGGTCGGCCAGTTATGCCCCTTATGTGTAGTGGAAGCGTGTTGAACAGTCTCGGACCTCTGATGTTGATAGAGTTCTCTCTCAGAGTACCAGTTGCACCTCTGTTTTTCAACGGGGGTATTCTGCACATCCTGCCATGTCTTCTGGTCTCATGTGATGTTATTTCTGTGTGCAGGTTTGGGACCAGCCCCTCTACTATTTTCCACGTGTAAATTATTATGTATCTCTCCCGCCTGCGCTCAAGAGAATACAGATTTAGGCACTTTAGTCGGTCCCAATAGTTTAGATGTTTTACTGAGTGGATTCTAGCAGTAAAGGATCTCTGCACGCTCTCCAGGTCAGTAATTTCTCCAGCTTTGAAAGGGGCTGTCATTGTGCAGCAGTACTCCACTCTAGAGAGCACTAGCGTCTTGAAGAGTATCATCATCGGTATAGCATCTCTAGTGTGAAAAGTTCTTGTTATCCAACCTGTCATTTTTCTTGCAGTTGTGACGGCTACTTTATTGTGTTCTTTAAAGGTAAGGTCTTCCGACATGAGTACACCCAAATCCTTTACATTGCCTTTTCGTTCTATGTTATGATTTGCCTGAGTTTTGTACGTGGTTTCCGTTTTTATATTCATTTTTTCCGTAGCGCATGAGCTGGAACTTCGTTAAACACCATATTATTTTCTGTAGCCCATAGAAAGACCTGATTGACATCTGATTGGAGGTTTGCCGTGTCCTCTATGTTGCCAACTCTCATGAAAATCCTAGTGTCATCTGCAAAGGATGATACAGTGCTATAGATTGTGTCCTTGTCTATGTCCGATATGAGGATGAGAAAAAGTACTGGAGCAAGCACAGTACCCTGAGGGAACTTTGACTTATTATTTACCAAAGCTGGAATGGCTAATTTTACTGCTTAAATACTGCATTTGAATATCAATTTATTTCCTTTAATAGTTTAAAAGCCTAGCACTTATATTGCATTATTATTAAAGTACATTATATTTATGGCAAAACAAATTTGTAACAAAGCAAATTACAGCATTTGGTTAATTAATGTAGATTTCTACTACATTTCTATGAAAGAAAAAATACATTCAGGATTATCTCCGAGACACTAGTCTTGGCCGATACAGTACAGTACTGTACTGTATTAATGGTCAAGGTAAAAAAAATCACATGCCATAAAGTTTGACTACATTTAAATCCTCCAAACTTTTTGATTAGATTTGTTAAAATCCAGGGAATAAACCAAATTCATAATTTGGTGAAATGAGAAAGCAGAAGTGTAGAAAATCTAAATTCCTCCCCCTTTAAAGTAGGCAGATAAAGCAGATTCAATAAGTTATTAACCATTCAATCTGATCATTGTGACTTGCAAGCAGATCAACAGACTCATAAGCTACCCCACAAGAAGCAGAATGATCTTGAATGCTCAATTCTGACTGGCAATAGCTGCTGTTGCACATTACTGTATTACTAACAGATGCACTTTAATTCAGACAATAGCTATAGATAATAGAAAGTCTAGTGTATTATTACTAGTGTATTATTGTATCATTACTAGTGTATTATTGTAGTGTATTATCTAGTGTATTATTACTTGAATGAACTTTGCTAAAGCATATGCCTTTAAATTTGTCAAGCTCCTACACTATGGCAGGGAGAAGCATTAGCTCAGCTTATTCCCAACATATCACACAAGTAGTTTTACCCTGTAGCAACCTTGTCAAGATACAATAATATAAAATGCCTTCTTTGTTAATACAAAATTGAGGTAGATAAATAGTATAATGAATTATCATTGAGCCAAACATATTGTTTTTGCTCATCATACTATCATATAGCAATTTAAATGAACTGTCTGCAATATGCTTAGGGTGGCACATTAAATAATCTTTAGCAACTGTGGTTACTGTATTTGTATTACTCTTGTGAGAGTATACACATAAAACATTTATTAACACGAATAATTTTTCTTAATCACACTGAAAATCACTTCAATTAAAAATACACAACTCCGAATGTTGTCAAAACCAGTCAGTCAGAACTTTATAAATTGGAAATTTAAAAATACTGTATCCCATAAAAAGGTGTTTCTCAGCGGGCTACTGAACATATGGCCCTGTATGACTAACCATCCTGCGAGATGGGGACTTTTAGTATCACTGTTACCTTATTCACTCTTGTTCATGATGATATCCTCATAATGCACCTAGAGTCTGCCAGTGCAGACTACAGATCACATACCTCTGTATGACTAACCATCTTGTGTGATGGGGATTGTTAGCACCACGTAGCTAGTTTTTTGACACACACTGTACTCCCCTTCATATAGTCTAGGGTAGCTGCACAAATGCATATGTACCTAAATGTGTTAAAAAAAACAGATGCAACATGCATTTTTTTCACACTACGATTTGTATGCACATATATCAATACACTACCACACCTTGAGTGGGTAAACAAAGCCTGCTGAAGTGGAGTATACAATACCCAGCCTTAACCACATGTAACGTACAAATACGAAATGAGAACAACAATGTTGTGTTAAGAGGAACTAGCAAGGTCGAGCTAATGAGTCTATTGTAACCTTCCTTGTTCTTTGTCGCGAGCACATATCAAGAATTACATGCTGCTGCTGCTGTTATTCTTCTCAATAGCACTGTAAATATATCCTACGTTCTATAAAAGGTGTGTTTATGGTGGCCTTGTAAAACCTGGCTCGCACTCCCAGCAATAATAATGCTTTGTCCTTGCTAACCTGCTCAGCTAAACCTGATACATATAACATTTACCAATTCACATTTATATGCCAATAACGTACTCTGCAGCAGCCCCATGCTCAAGCCAAATTACAGCAACGTCCATTAGTTAACCTAAGACACTCTAAAGAGTCTAAGAGACTCGAAGTCATTAACTGACCTGTCGAAATCAGCTGAGCGAGACCTGCCTGCAGACGACAATGCTTTACTGCTGCAGGCCAGCCTAGGTATTCCCACCGTCAACTCCTACTCGTTATTGCCGCCTCCTGTAAATACCGCAAAGAGATAACGACGTGAAGATGCCAAGGAGCTTTCAAAACATAAGGCAGATGAGGGACGAGCTACAGCACTGCTCACCGAGCCACAGCGGGAGAGACACTGAGCTTCGGCCCAGCCAGGCACTCCAGTGTTGCCATGCCTGGCCACCACCTTCCAACACCTGCACCCTGCAACAACATATCTGCACCTGCATCCACCACCACCTGTTACAAGCATCTGCATCCACCAGCACCTACACCCTCCAACATCTTCCCTTGAGATGAGCCACCTCTCCTGATGAATTCATGCAACACGGCTAGGAAGCATCAAAACTACTATCGCTGGTACTCGGGTACTGTACTCGCCTAAAATATATGTGGGTGCTGGTTTACTCTTGAAATTCTATATGTATTGGTAGCCTTAACTACCTCCTCTTTTGTATGTTTTTGTTGTACCTTAATTTTAGTTTGCATTCATAGTCGAGGACAGGGAGCCTGTAACTACATGATGACCTTCTCAGGATGCAACCCACAAAATTTATCCAGCACCTTGGCAGTTATTTAATCATTCAGTTTGTCGAGGACAGACAGCCTGTGTACGTATGCTAGGCTTATATCGACGTCTCGTCCTCCCTCCCCCCAAGGAGTAACTACAGATCTCCGCTAGGATGCAGTCCCACATCAAGCTGGCTATTCCCCTAAAAGTATCTCTCTTCTGCTAAATGAACTGAGGCATTAGATGATAGGAAATATGCCCAACCATTTCTGTCCTGCCCAGGATTCAAACCCGGGCTTCCTAATTGTGAGTCAAGAACGAACCCAACTGTGCTGCCGAGACCCTACAGTAGGTGGACAGACATCTGTTGTGGGTTGCATTGGTATAGCTGGCCTAGACCCTAAGCTTGTTTAGTGGTATTAGTATATTGTGGTCAGTGAGCTGATCCGTGACCTCGCTAGTTCCAAACTTTATGAGATCAAAGTTTAAAAGAATTGCAACCTGAAGTGAATGAGGGCAGTAGCACTCCAGGTTGTAATTCTTTTTAGCCATGTCGTGGCACAGTTGACCAAGGCGCAGCTGGGTACATCCCGTGCGTAGGTACGAACCCTCATCGCGGCCTTTGTGGATTTGTTCATTTGATATATCACAGTATTGTGATTTGTGTGTGTATTGAAGGGCGTGGAGGTAGAATATTCGGTTGACAGAGCCCGGGTGCATGGGGGGAATTGCGTGAAAAAACTATTGGGCTTCGGGATCCTAGCGAGGACAGCACTACTCCAGGTTGCAATTCTTTTACTTTACTTGCCCGTCCCCTTGCTCCCCCCCCTCTCAACCATTTATCACGATAATTAAAATTCCACGTTAATCACACTCCAAATTTCACATGTCTTCACGAAAATGGCCCATGGGGTGTGGATAATTACTAATATTTCGTAAAGCTTTTAAATTAGGTCTACCCCAAGTAGCCTATGTCCATCCTGTATTCACAAACTATTCGGGCCGCTCATTCCGGTGAAGCTAGCCCTAAACGCCTAGCCTTGTAGTAGTAGAAATAGTTGACACTTGAGAGGCGGGACCGAAGAGCAGAGCTCAACCCCCCCGCAAGCACAACTAGGTTTATACACACAGTAAGCAGCCCGTAGCTTTTTTTCCAGGGATATTCCTGTGTGGGCCCTAAGCCTCTGGGTGGCCCACTAAGTGTTGTTTGTTTTACTTGGGCGGAGTATGAGTATGACTATTATGGTCGCTTCAGTAAGATTTTTTCCCATGTGTTTAACAACAACTGTTCTGTTGAATCTAAATTGAAATCTTAGTTTGTAACTGCACTGTTAGATAATGTTGCAGTGGTCTCTCGGGCATTTCTCCACAGTGCTGACATTTCCTCTCATCTTCCGGAACCTGTAAGCCTATTTCCCATGCACATGGATATGCAAGTAAGTAAGTTATTATCAAAAGAAGGCACCAAACCGGGAAGGCTATGTAGCACCATCAAATACGCAAAATAATCAGAGGGCGCTAAATATCACCAAGGATGCCAATACGAGAACAAAAACGCATAAGGCGAACGATATCAAAAGTATCCGAGTCACCAAGAATTCTATCGAGGGACAGGTGACCGCGAGGGGCGGTCGGAAAGCAAGACACACGCTCGTCCTGGAAGTCAGGACATTCAAGAAGGACATGCACGACCGTAAGAGGGACAATGCAACTAGGACAATAAGGAGCAGGGCGGCGCTCCATCAAGTGACCATGGGTTAAGCGAGTATGGCCAATACGCAACCTCGCTAGAGCTGTTTCCCACCGCCGGTTACGGTGGAAGGAGGACGGCCACGAGGAAACACAACATTTAAGAGTACGTAGCTTGTTACCAGTAACAGACAACCAAGAAGCCTGCCAACGGGCAAGGACTGAGGAATGGATAACCGGGTAAAAGTCGGAATACGGAATGCCTTTACGAGAGATGGGACAAGAGCGGACAGCTTCCTTAGCGGCAGCATCCGCACGCTCATTTAAAGACACGCCAATATGGCTGGGAACCCAACAAAACTCAACCGACTTAAATTTACTGTGAACGAGAAACAGCCAATGCTGGATCTCGACAACTACCGGATGAACTGGATTAAAGCACCCGAGAGCCATGAGGGCACTACGAGAGTCAACAACAACCACAAAGGAAGACTGACAACGAGAAAGCAGGAGACGAAGAGCAGAGAGAATAGCATAAAGTTCCGCTGTAAAGATGCTAGTCTCCGGAGGCAAGCGACACATATAAGTGCGATCAGGAAAAACAACAGAGTAGCCAACACCGTCCGCTGACTTAGACCCATCGGTGAAGACAGAAACGGAGCGGGAGTGAGAAGAAAAGTGCTCGAGGAAAAGGCGTTTTAGAACTGTAGGAGGGGTAAAAGCTTTAGTGATACGAGTCAAGGATGTACAAAACCGCGGAAGAGGGACCCTCCACGGGGGCAAAGAAGGAACAACACGAGGAGAAACATCAGAAATACGAACGGAAAGAGAATCCTGCAGGCGAGATAACCGGACAGAAAGAGGGAGGTGGTGAAGAGGAACAGGAACCGCAGGAGGGGTAAAAGTTAAAGCACGACAGAGACGAGAGGAAGGATGTTGCAAGGACCGCACAAGATAGCGAAGACAGTAGCGATCACGGCGGTCCTGGAGAGACAGGAAGCCAGTGTCAACATACAAGCTAAGGACGGGAGTCGAACGAAAGGCACCAGAACTGAGGCGCAACCCAGTATGGTGCAAAGCATCAAGACGGCGAAGAGTAGAAGGAGAAGCAGACGAGTAAGCAGGGCAACCATAATCGAGCTTAGACAGGACGAGAGAGGAATGTAAAGCAAGGAGAGTGCGCCTATCTGCCCCCCCAAGAAGTATGGGACAAGACCCGAAGGAGGGTAAGGGACTTAGAGCACTCAACACGGAGGTAAGATATATGGGGAGACCAAGACAAACGAGTGTCAAGGAATAACCCCAAAAGCTTCGCGGAATCTTTGTATTCAAGGGGATGACCATAAAGTGACAAAGAGGGACGAAGAACAACCCGTTTCCGCGTAAAAGTCATGGCACAAGTCTTAGAAGTAGAGAACTTGAAGCCATGACCTGTGGCCCAAGACGACACGGCATCAATCGCAAGTTGAAGCCGGCGTTGAAGGAGAGGCGAATCATCACCCTGACAACAAAGGGTAAGATCATCGACATAGAGAGCGGAGAAGACACCAGAAGGAAGAGAGGAAAGAAGACCATTGAGGGCAACCAGAAAAAGAGTAGTGCTCAGAACACTACCCTGGGGCACACCTTCGTATTGCTGAAAAGAGGGAGAGAGAGCGGTACCAAGGCGCACCCGAAAGGAACGACGAGAGAGGAAGCTGCGGAGAAAGAGAGGGAGATGACCACGAAGGCCAAAAGAATGAAGTTGAGATAGGATATGATAACGCCAAGTGCTGTCGTAAGCCTTTTCTAGGTCAAAAAGGACGGCAACAACGGAGGTCTTCGCAGCAAAAGCAGTACGTATATAGACCTCCAAGTTCACCAGGACATCTGTCGCGCTGCGGCACTTGCGGAAACCAAATTGAGAAGGGGAGAGGAGGTGATGGTGTTCCAGGAACCACATCAGACGAACGTTAACCATACGTTCAAAGAGTTTGCAGACACAACTTGTGAGAGCAATAGGGCGAAAGTCCTTAGGGGAAGTACCCAGAGACCCCGGTTTGCGAACAGGGAGGACAACGGCATCGAGCCAGTCCTCAGGGACTGACGACGACTCCCAGATCCGATTATACAGACTCAGTAAATACTGAGACGTGCTCGGAGGGAGATGGCGAAGCATCTCATAATGAATACCATCGGAGCCCGCCGCCGTAGAACCGCAGAGGGCCAGGGCAGAACGAAGTTCAGAGAGAGAGAAGGGATCATTATAGGGAAGCTGAAGATGAGTGCAGAAATCTAAAGGACGAGACTCAAGGACAGGTTTACGAAGAAGGAAAGATTGGGGAAGATGAAGACCAGAGCTAACAGAAGAAAAGTGGGAACCCAGTTCGGAAGCGACCTGCAACGGGTCCGCCACAAGAGTATCATGGAGGTGAAGGACCGGTGAAACATCGGGAACGAACTTACCCGCTATCTTGCGGATACGCTTCCAGATCTGGGCCAGAGGGGTTTCGGACGTAATTGTCGAGACATAAGATGCCCAACATTCACGTTTAGCCGTACGGATGGCCCTACGGGCCACCGCACTCGCTTTCCGAAAGAAAAGAAAAGAATCGGTCGTCTGCCTACGGCGGTGCTTCTTCCAGGCTGCACGCTTACAGCGGACAGCCCGAGCACAGTCCGCATTCCACCAGGGAACGCACTTCCATGGACCCCGAGAGGAAGAGCGAGGAATAGAGCGGAGGGCAGCGTCGAAGACTGTCATGAAAAAGGAGGAGAGCGCGAGAGAGGGGCAGAAGGGAGAGGTCAGAGAGAGTAGCACTGAGGGAAAATAGGGTCCAGTCCGCCTTAGCAAACTGCCACCTAGGGAAAGAGAGGGAAGGGCGAAAAGAGAAAAAGGAAACAAGGATGGGGAAATGATCACTTCCATGGAGGTCATCGAGAACCTGCCATGTGAAATCTAAGTAAAGA